GTAAGAGTGTCATCACGGAGATAGCTCACGTGCACACATGGGAACACACATCCCAGGGAAACGAGAGACAAGACCTTCCTTCCTTCTGTGCCTGCATGTATACAGGCAAACAGGGGTGAGGTTTTGGTTCCTAAAGAACCCACGGGTAGAAAGCCAGCCAGAGAGCCAGCTGGGCCCTTATTCCTAAGCATCCAGGCTACATGATCTATCAAGAAAAGCACAAGCATTTCACAAAGTCTTCTCAATGTAAGTGACAGGAGGCTGAAGAAGAGGGAGGGGGCAGAGGCTAGACCTGGTGAGGCTAGACCTGGTACCTGGGGCACTCAGCTCCAGACTTAGGTGGCCAGCAGGCTCAGGATCCAGGGACTTCAGAACATAGGTGACCTGTGTAGGGCAGCAGAGCACTGCCCAAAATAGCCATGGATATATCATGGAACTGTCAAGGCTCCACTTGTCTAAGGCCATTGCAAGGCCCGGGGATGACAAGTCAGAAGAGTAATCAAGTGTGGCCTCGAACTACAACCTTCTGTTCATTTGAATGCTATAGCCCAGAGGAACCCCTCATGGCTCGAACAGGCTGACCCTCTGCCACACCTTTGTCAGCACCCTGCACACACAAGCGATGCCAGAAGGCAGTGTGGTGGAGCTGTGGGTCATCAAAGAGGGGTCAACCTCCTGGTCACACCCTTGCCCATGTCAGGGTCGGACAAGCACCGCTGCCTGGATATCCTCAAGGGGCCAGCACCCTTCTCTACACCGTGAGCTCCACGAAGAGACCTGTGACCAGGGGGACGGGCTCCGGACACGTCCTGACACGCACCGCGGGGGACCTAGGCCGTGGTCTGGAAGGAAAGGATGCTCGCTGGGGCTTGACGTCGTGGACATCTCCAAGGGTGGGCAGGGGTCTCTTGCAGCGGAGAGGAACAGGGAGTCCAGGGATGCTCACCATGAGTAGCCACGAGCATCCTCCACGCACATGGAGGGTCGTCGCGGCAGTCCCAATATCTGCACTCTGAACTCCGTGGTGATGCCCCATG